AGGTTGGAGGCCATCGCTAGTAGGTTGGAGGCCATCGCGATTAGGGTGGAGGCCATCGCTAGTAGGGTGGACGCTGTTGGTCTGTTTAAATTGGATTCCTGACGTCCAGGCATGGGTCGTGATGGACCCTGTAGAGGCTGGTCTTCCGGCTGGTTCACCTTTGCCTCTTGGCATTATAAGGGGTGTGGTGCCCACCATGCTGAGTAAGCCAGCTTTGATCTAGAACTAAAGGAAGTTAGAAAGGAACCATGGAGAATGCGAAATTGAGAAGGGAGCCCAACGCTCACTGTGGGATGATATAGACATAAAATTTCCAGAGACCGGACAGAATATGGGGGTGTTGCTATCGGGTAAGGGAACGGGAACTGGAATACCCAAGATGTTTCCGCACCAGCTTCAGGGTTTACTACCGACCCAAGTTTGGCCAGTAGTTTTTGATTCAATCCATAAATGTCTTGTTTTTTCCAACCATTCAACATCATTGCACCAAGGCTTGAGAAAGTGTCGCCGTAGCCATTCACGGCGTGCCCGAGATCAGCGTTCTGAGAGATGGATGGATCGCCACCTATTGGAAAGCAAAGAACAGGTGAAGCCATATTGTGATTGTTATGAAGACCCCTATTGACAAGCCATATGTTGGTCTTTGTGTATGTTGGGATCCTGCTCCTTGCGTTATGTCGGGTTTCTTGTCACGTAGGGGCTGCGCTGAGCATGCTCGAGACCTAAAGCCCAAGTGAACACATGTTTGTGGCACTCATGCAGTCCCTGCACTCTGGCAGTCCTCGCACGCAAACCGTTGACCCTATGGCGCTACGTGTTGCATCTCAACGAAGAAGCCGCTGGCTTTGCGTCAGTGTGCCAACTCGTACATCAAATGAAAACACATGAATATACAATCTAGTTTTGAAAAATCGTTCAGATTCAAACCAGGTTGTTCTTGCTTCCAACGCCATGAGTTGGCACCGACTCACTGGATGCATAACTGGAGACGCGGAGACGGAGAAGACGGAGCGCTTGGTGGTCAGATCAAAAGATCATGGAATTCATAAATTCATTACTATATATATATATATACCTGCCAGTGCCTGGGAATATGAAGGGAATGAATAAATAATTAAACGCTTACGCCTAACAGCCGGGCGCCGGCCCACTTGGGTCTGTGGGGCGTATGTCACGCCTATGTTGGCCTTGGTGGGGCCTATATTGAGCAAAGTTAAGCTATCTGGTGCGCATCTTGGCCCTAGGTTGGGCCAAGTTGGGCCCATGTGGTCTATGTTGGGCACATCTTGGGCAGAGGGGGAGGGATATGGAGAGGCGCGAGCGGGAGGAGGAGAAGGAAAGGAGCAGGGGACAGGCCCAGCGTCTGTTTCGGTCGCTGTGGCGAGGCAGGGTAGGTCGAGGAGGAAAGCGAGCACGGGGGGCGCGGCGTCTGGTTCGGTCGCCGCGTGTAGGAGGGTCGGTGTTGTCCTGCTGGACACACACACGCCCGCCGAGCTATCTGGAAACAGCGCACGCAAAAGCGCGCTAGCACAGAGAATGTGGAAGCGGGGGCGTCTGGAGTTCTTTGGACATATTGAAAGCAAGTGAAAGTGGCAGAGGAAAAAGTGATATTTTCTGGGATCATTTTTTAGAAACACGTGTTAGATTGTTAGTCAAGTGAAGGTTTTTCAGGCAGAGAAATGCGAAAAGAGAAGTTGAGGCAGTGGACTGGGCAAAGGAAAGTGGAGGCAGGGAACCGGTAAAAGTGAACTGGAGGAGGGGGAAATGCGATGCGTGGCGTGGGCGAATTTTGGGGACTGTTTTACTGTGAGTCGGTCAGTGGCAGGAAACTGGCGGAATGGAACTGGAGACAGGGGAAATGCGAACAGGGCACCTGAGCAGTGAACTGGGCAAAAGGAAACTGGAGGCTGCCTCCACGGAACTTGCTGAAGGGAACTGGACGCAGGGAACTGGCTCCAGGGAACTGGAGGCAGGGAACTGGAAGCGGGAAATGGGAAACTGGGGACAGGGAAAATGCGCAGCGAACTGGGCAAAGGAAACTGGGGCAGGGAACTTGCTGAAGGGAACTGGAGGCAGGGAACTGGACGCAAGGAAGGCACAAAACTGGAAGCAGGGAACTGGAGGCAGGGAACTGGAAGCGGGAAATGGGAAACAGGGGAGGCAGGGAACAGGAGACCGGGAAAGGGGAAACAGGAGACAGGGAAAATGTGCAGGGCATTGGGCAAAGGAAACTGGGGCAGGGAATTGGTTGAAGGGAACTGGAGGGCAGGGAAGTGGATGCAGGGAACTGGCTCCAGGGAACTGGAGGCAGGGAACCGGAAGCAGGGAACTGGAGGCAGGGACCTGGAAACGGGAAACCGGGGACAGGGAAAGTGCGCAGGGAACTGGGCAAAGGAAACTGGGGCAGGGAACTTGGTGAAGGGAACTGGAGGCAGGGAACTGGGCGCAGGGAACTGGCTCCAGGGAACTGGAGACAGGGAACTGGCGTCATGGAACTGGAGACTGGGAGAAGCGAGGAAACGGGGGCAGGGAGCTGGAAAGGGTGGAGAGAGAAGGAGGGAGATATGGCGGCAAGTTCGGTGTTTTCCTGCTGGACACACCCTTCCGAAGTTTGCCTGAGGATAGCTGGAGTTGAACAGGTTTATCAGGTAAAGCGAACGGTTAAGGGAATCGGGGGCGTGCTGTCGTCGGCCTATTCTAAAACTTTAAATAGGTAAGATCCACAGTGGTTGCTTTGTTGAACTTCTGGGATGCCTCTGGTGCAGATCTTGGTGGTAGTAGCAAATATTTAAAGGAGTTTTTTTTTGGGGGGGGGGGAAAAATAGGAAATGTGTAGATTAGAGAAAAAGGTGTAAGGGGGGGAAACTCTCGCGATTTTTTTTGTTGTTGTTGGGCGGGTTCGGACTCGCCACCTGGGCGAGGCCGAAGCCACCACCAGATGTGTAAGACATTTTCTGGTAGTTTTCCTTCTGGGTAGGTTGTGCTTGCTAGAGCGCTCGCTATACCAAAAGAAAAAGCACGAAAATGTTTTTGAGCCTGACAAAATGATTTTGCATAACTTTTGCTGCAAAGTCATTTTGTCAGGCAAAAAAGTATTTTGGTGTGTTTCTTTCGGTATAGAGAGCGCTCTAGCAAGCAAAAAATATCGAAAAGGAAAGTTACCAGAAACGAATCTCAAGGTGCGCTCTCTAATCCAGAAAGAAAAACACCAAAAATATTTTGCAGCCAAAAATCAAAAATCATTTGGTCAGCCTTGAAAATATGTGTGTCATTTTTCTGGTATAGAGAGTGCTGTAGAAAGCAAAAAATACAAAAAAAGAAAGCTACCAGAAAAAATCCCAAGTTTCTTGTACTGTGAGTCGGTCAGTGGCTTGAAACTGGCGGAATGGAACTGGAGACAGGGGAATGCGAACAGGGCGCCTGAGCAGTGAACTGGGCAAAGGAAACGGGAGGCTGCCTCCAGGGAACTTGCTGAAGGGAACTGGACGCAGGGAACTGGCTCCAGGGAACTGGAGGCAGGGAACTGGAAGCAGGGAACTGGAGGCAGGGAACTGGAGACTGGAAATTGGCGCGATGGAACTGGAGACTGGGAAATGGGAAACGAACCGAGGAAACGGGGGCAGGGAACTGGAAGCAGGGGACTTGAGGCAGTGAAGGTTCCAGTTATCTGCTTTCAGCTTTTACCCAGGTCACTGTTTCCATAGTTCCCTGTTCCCATTTCCCTGTCTCCAGTTCTCCCCCTTCCAGTTCCCTGGCCCCAACTCACTGCCTCCATCGTTCCCTGTTCCCATTCCCCTGTCTCCAGTTCCCTGCCTCCAGTTCCCTGCTTCCAGTTCCCTGCGCCCAGTTCCCTGGAGCCAGTTCCCTGCCTCCCAGGAAGGCAACCCCAAATTTTCCGCGCGCTGCGCGAGCCGGTAAACGCACGCTGCGCGCTGCACGCGGTGGCCAAGGCCCTAATGGCCCGGCGTGTTTCAAGATAGTTCGGCGGGCGTGTGTGTCCAGCAGGAAAACCAAAAATTTGGCACGCGCGCAAGCAAAAGAAAAGAGAAATACCTATTCCACCAGAGGTTGGGAAGACGTATGGTTTACCTTTAGAGCCGGTAGACGTAGAGGCTAACGAAGCCTTTTGCTTGCGATTTGGAGACTGCATGACCGGACGAGGGCAGAGCGACCTCAAATGTGTCAACAAAGTTGGGAAATGGCGGAGAACAACAGGCAACTGTTTCTGCGTCAGGCTTCCAACGCAGATTTTGCGAGCTTGCGCAGTCGAAAGGCACTGCGAACATTTCGAGAGGCATGAATGTACTGCAAATAGCAACGGCGTAGCCGTATATGTCTCTCACCATGCACGCACACGCAGGCACAAAACACAAACAATTACCGAAAAGCGATTCAACCCTTGTTTTGTAGGTTGTCCGTTTTCAGTAGCGTCGGTGGAGGATTGCTCACACAACCGCTTCAAGCCGCAAAATCTTTTCACGCGCAACGGGGCAGCAATGCGTCTTTACCAGCCCAGCGGAGGGCGACGCGCATAACGGAATGGTCGAGTGCATTGACACTCATTGTTCGAACGTGGGTGTGAGCCACGATTTTCCTCAATTCAATTACCCTCCCGAAATTGGTTTGAATTCAAGAACCTTAGAAAGAACGAGCGCCATCACATATGATTGCAAGTTAGTCACTTGATCCTCTCTATTAAATCTTCATCCAAGTACAATGAGTAGTTCCTGGCATTGCCCAAGCTAGGGATCCAGTCGAGGCACCTTCGTTGACAAGGGAGTGGACGTGAAACATGTTTCAAACTTTTGTGGAACACGTTCACGTTCTCGTTATCTTTTTGAAAACCAGGGAACAAATGCTCGAGCGTATGTTGCTGCGGGAGAAGCTGCCATGCGAGCTTCCCGGACTCCAGGCTTTCGTTTGCAAGGTTTCGGAATACGTGTAAACATGTAAGTACTAAAACTTTATTCCCAAAAATCACATCTTTTGAGCAAACCATTTGGGCAGAGCGTCAGTTGTAGGAACATCGGAAAACGAGGTAGGCATCGTGGCTAGACTGGACAGCTTAAGGAGGAAGTTTCCGCCGTGGACTTGCGTCGCAAGAATGCTTTTGTTGGTTGACTATAGAGGTTCAAAACGGTGTTAGCTTGCAGCTGAAGGACCCATGGTTTGCAAGCACAGTGTATAAGCTGGTCAGAGACAGCAGCACGTTGGCACGGTGCCTTCAATTGCATTCAGTCTTCAGACTTCAGGGGGCTTTACCAAAGAAACATGAACGTATTTAAAAATTAAGGAAGGAACCCGTTGTGCCTGAGGGGGAAGCTCGCGTTCCTTGGTTAAGAGTCGTGCGCGGGCTGTCGTCGGCAGCGGCCTCTGGAGGTGCGCGAGTTCTTCGTGCTGCAACCTGGGGCGCCCAGGCAGACGAAGGCCGACGCAACGCGCGGAGTGCGGGGAGTGGTTCGGAGGTAGGGGGCGGTATGGACCTGACAAGCGGTAAGGGCTTCACTCCAAGC